TTGGCCCAGCAGCTCAATCCTTCCATATGTGGAGAATGGATACCAGAATGGCCCCGACCTCCATAGGCTCTTCAGAGGTGCCCGGTAATCATTCAATGGTACACACCTCCCTCCACAAGTTTGTTTTCCCTGCAGCCTGCAGCACCAGCCACCAGCACCACAGATAACACACTGCCACCAGTGACTCCTTTGTTTGTTTGTTTGTTTGTTAATCCTCACCTGAGGATATTTTTTTCCATAGATTTTTAGAGAGAGCGGAAGGGAGGGGGAGAGACACAGAGAGAGAAACATCGATGTGAGAGAGACACATCGATTGGTTGCCTCCCACACGTGCCCCAACCAGTGGCAAGGATCGAGCCTGCAACAGAGGTACATGCCCTTGGTGCCTCCCTGACTTCTAACGCCAGGGCCCCAGATTGGCACAATCCTCAGGCCTGCGCAGAGAATGGAGCTCTCTCTCTGAGGAACCGGCACTCCTCCAGCGATGGAGCTGGGCCTCAGGCCTCCCTCTCCCAGGCTGCCTGTCTCACCTTTGTCCCTCCACTCCCAGTGTTTCCAAGCCAGAGGCACTGGCCACCAGGCTACCTGCTCCAAGCCCAAGCCAGAGAAACCCGCAAAAGCGTCTCCCTGCCTCCACCAGCCCACCAGCCCTCCCGGAGGAGTAACTCACCTCGGCAAACAGGCACGCACTTGCCCAGGCTGAAAAAGTGAGAATGAAGCTCCTTGGTGAAGCAGATGTCTGCAGCCGCGGGGGTCCTGGAGTGGCGACAGACACAGTCATGTCCGCCTCCCCCGCGCCCTGCTTCCCGACCCTCCCCGCCCCCCATGTGCTGCCTGGCACCGTCAGCGATGTGAACCGGAGGCACAGAGGACCTGCGCCGCCCCACCCCATGCCCTGCCTGGGCTGCTGGCTGCCGCCTCCTGGTCAGAGCAGGAGGAAGGCAAATCTGGGCAGAGACGGGTGGGTCCTGCCGGGCCCATTGGGAGGGGCTCATTCCTCCTCACCAACGCATCAACTTCAGGTTCCAGATGTGGCGGAGTTTCAGGATCCCTGGAGGAGGAGAGGAAAGCTTTCATGCCTCCACTTACCTTGTTCCTGGAAGCACCTTGTTCTGTCACCCCACTTCGGGGAATGAGGGACAAGGGTCACTACCAGTTCCTGATGCCCTGAAGTGGCATCTTCTGGAACCTTGGGCCGGCCTCCCACGTTCTCACCGGCTCCTTGCTCTGTCCCACTCCCCATGTTTGATCAGTCACCATGTCTGGTCTGCCTACCTCCCCAATATATTTTGCTGCTGCCTTTTCTATACCTTCTCTCCAGTTTCACCACCATCACCATAGTCCAGGCTACTGGAATGCTCTCCAGCGGTCGCCAACCTTTCGGACCGCACAGACCACCAGTGGTCCATGGAGCACTGGTTGGCGACCACTGCGCCTCCTTCCTGTCCAGCTGGAATGTCTCAGGAGTTGAGCATCAACTGTGAACCAGGAGGTCATGGTTCGATTCCCAGTCAAGGGCACATGCTCAGGTGGCAGGCTCAGTCCGCTGTGTAAGGCATGCAGGAGGCAGCCGATTGATGATTCTCTCACATCATTGATGTTCTATCTCTCTCGTCCTCTCTGAAATAAATACAAATATACACTGAGTAGCCAGGTTATTATGATCTCTGAACATCATAATGCTAGAGGCCTGGTGCATGAATTTGTGCATGGGTGGGGTCCGGCCAGCCTGGCCAAGGGGAGGGGACATGGGCGGTTGGCCAGCCTTGCCTGCTGGTAGAAATCCTGGTTGAGGGGACAATTTGCCTATTAGTCTTTTATTCTATAGGACATACACTGAGTGGCCAGATTATTATGCATTCAGAGATCATAATTATCTGGTCACTTAGTGTGTGTGTGTGTGTGTGTGAGTGTGTGTGTGTGTGTGTGTGTATATATATATATATATATATATATATATATATATACCTCCTGGAATCTGGCAGTGGCACTCAGACCATTCTCTGCCTAGCAGCAGCCAGGATGAGTTCTGAAAGGCTGATTTATCCAGGTGGTTGCCCCTGAGCTGTAAGAGAGTCTAACCTCCTGCATTCAGCAGTGAAAGCAAGTCCCTGTGAAGTCAGCAGGGCAGGAACTTGTACGTGGGGAATCCGGCTCCCAAATAAGGTTGGCTGAAGGGTACAAACTCAGCCTGGGGCAAACCTGGAACCAGGATACAGGTCTCTCAGCCCCTAACCCAGAGTTTCCTTGACGGGTCCTCGGATTTGTTCCCAAGGTTCCAAGACTTTGTGGGACCTTCCACGATTTAGAAAACAGGTTCCCCAGGCCTGCTGCAACAGAGTAAATGGTCAGACCTTGCCCTGTGGCCATTTCCTCGCTTCCTCATTCCCTCCAAACTTCTGAGGGTCTCTCCAAAAATCACCTTCCCTGAGAGGATGCTGGAGGGGTCACACGGGGGCTGGACTTCCCGGAAACAGTAGTCCCAGAGCTCTGAAGAGCCCAGCGGGAAGTGAGCTTGTTCTGCTTCGGTTTGGCCCTGGCCGGGGTTCTCTCCCTGCCTCCCTGTGCCCAGCACACTGGCCCGTGTACCCCAGAGATGAGGGTCATCCATGCAGGACTGGTGATTGGAGACGGTGATGAGGGGCGTGGCCGGGCCGCGGTTCTCGATGAGCTCATACAGCACTTCCTTGTTGTGGACGGTGAGGCGGTTCATGCACTCTGGCGGGGAGAGAAAAGCGTGGGGGTCTTGGCCTCCTCCTCTCCTGAGGCCCAGGGCTCCCCCCCAGCCAAGCCCACTCACTGGTCCAGAAGCAGCTGTAGGTGCCCACCAGGCCCATGACGACACTGCTGGCCAGGGTCCAGGTGACCGGCGGCACGGCGGGGAACGGCCATTTCACATGAAGGGGCATCCCCCACACACACTCCCCCGCTCCCGACGGCCCGGCCGTTCCCCTGCCCCGGGGCAGCTGCTGGGGTGTCCTCAACTGCCCCACAGCCGGGTGACTAACTGGTCTACGCCAGCAACTCGCGCCGCGTCTCAGCGCGACAGGGGACTCGAACAAGGTCACCTCGCGGGGCGGCCAGAGGCCGGCCGGCCCCCCTCGCCACCGGCCAGCCCACCGTGATCAGGAGTCGGGGATCGCAGCGAGGAACGACAGGAGTGGCAGCTGGAAACCACGCGCCCCCCGCCCACCCGGGGGAAAGCGAAGCGGTCAAGTCCCCACGTTCCACCGCCGCCGCCTGTCGCAAACGCGCCGGGCCGCTTGACGGCAGCGACGCCCCGCCCCCGGGACCGCCCCGGCCCCGCCCCGGCCCCGCCCAGCCCGGCGCAGCCTCAGTGCCCGGCGCCGCCCGCTGCGCTCCTTTTGTCTGTTCCTCCCAGGAAAATCGTGGGCTGCCCAGCGGCATTACCTGACACCGCTCAAAGTCCGGGCTAGCGGAGCATTTCTACTTTCGTGTTCCCCCCCCCCCTTATTTTTATTGAGGTAGAATTCATACAACATAAAATTAAACCGTTTTATGGTATTTTATTTTTTATTATGTTTAAAGTCTTATTATTTACTTATCTATTATTTTTTATTTTTTATTTCAGAGAGGAAGGGAGAGGGATAGAGAGATAGAAACATCCATGAGAATCATTGATTGGCCTCCTCCGCACGTCCCCTGCTGGCGGGGGGTGGATCCCGCAACCCGGGCATGTGCCCTAGGACGGAATCGAAAACCAGCTAGGGCTATGGTATTTTATAATATTTTATTTTGTATTTTTTAAAAATAGATTTTATTGATTTTTTTTTTTTTTTACAGAGAGGAAGGGAGAGGAATAGAAAGCTAGAAACATCGATGAGAGGGAAACATCAACCAGCTGCTTTCTGCACACCCTTTACCGGGGATGTGCCCGCAACCAATGTACATGCCCTTGACCGGAATCGAACCTGGGACCTTTCAGTCCGCAGACCGACGCTCTATCCACTGAACCAAACCAGTTTCGGCTAATATTTTATTTTAAAAAATATATTTTATTGACTTTTTACAGAGAGGAAGGGACAGGGATAGAGAGTTAGAAATATTGATGAGCTGCCTCCTGCACACCCCCTACTGGGAATGTGCCCGCAGCCAAGGTACATGCCCTTGACTGGAATCAAACCTGGGACTCTTCAGTCTGCAGGCTGACGCTTTATTCACTGAGCCAAACTGATTAGGGCTATAATATTTTAAATTGTATATTTTATATATACAACATACACGTTGTTACACATGTGCTCCTACATAATTACAATATTACAGATACCTGTATGCATGTATCTGATATACAATGTAACATGTGATGTAACATATGTAGCAATATATACATAGTATATCACTTGATACATTTGTAGTGTTGGCAACCATCACGTCAAACTAGTTCCAAAACATAACTCCCAAAGGAAAGCCCTGTACCCCTAAAGAGGTCTATCTTTTATTTTAAATCATTTTATTGATGTAAAATTGTTTTCCAACCTGCTCATCACCACCCCCAATCCTGGCGACGGCGACACTGTCCTGATGACCGCTCCACAACCAGCCACGGCAGACCCGCCTCCTACCCTAGACGCCGCCGGGGTCCCCCAGTTGTTCCGACAGGGACAGGGCCGGCCCCCAAGCGGTGCTGAGCTAGCAGCTCTCACATCCCCTTCTCTCAGGGACGGTCCTCAGCCCGCTCTGTGCAGCCACAGAGGACCCGGCGGGAGGACGTGGATTAAAAGCTCTCGCGCCCCTCCAGTCCGGCACCAGCTCCAGCCATTGCATCTTCCCTCCGCAGATGCCGCCTGGGAAAGCCCTGGGGCTGAGCGCCCGGCCTGGGAGAATGCGCCTAGGGGTTTGCACTCAGGCGCCAGCATTTCCCCGCCCTCGGCACAGGCAACCATTCATTAACGAGCTGCCGTGGCTTGATCTCTGACTCACAGATGTGACATCTGCCCGCAGCCTGGGGCCTCCGCCCGGCTGGGTCCCACGCCCGCAGCGGGAAGGCGGGGCCTGGTGGGAAAGTGGGCGGGCGGCCCGCTGTCCCGGGCCAGGAGCCCGCCCTGCTTGCAGGCGCTTGGGCGGGGCAGGGACCGCCGGCCGGGGCCTGCATGAGTGGAGCTGACCGACATCCTGTTCCTCTTCTCTCTGGTCCCTGAGAGGCAGCTGCTGCGATTCCGTGGGGCGTCCTGATCCGCTTACAGCTGAGGCAGGTGTGTAGACAAGCTGTTCTGCGCAGGTATGGAAGCCCTCTGGGCAGAGGGAGGGACAATGTTACCCCCGAGGTGGAGGGTAATGAGAGGGGAAGGGAACCCCAAGGCTGGGGCCAACGCCAGGTGTTGGGAGCCCAGGCTGGGCTTTGGGCTGTTGCCAGGTACAGTCACTCTGGTTCTTGTCCGGGACCCTCCGGGGGGCCTCTGGCCCTAGGGCCTCCGTGCCTGCCCTTGCCAGCCCAGGGCTGCCTTCCACACACATCCGTCCCAGAATAGGCACCAGGGCGGGAGACCCAAACTCGCATGAGTGACAGAGCAGGTGACAGGGAGGAACAGGCACCATGCCCAGCCAGGAGAGTGGAGATATGCAGAGAAGCCATGAGAGATGAACGAACAAGAGAGACCAAGAAGCCCTAACCGGTTTGGCTCAGTGGATAGAGTATCAGTGGACTCAAGGGTCCCAGATTCGATTCCGGTCAAGGGCATGTACCTTGGTTGCGGGCACATCCCCAGTAGGCAGATGATGGATGTTTCTCTCTCTTTGATGTTTCTAACTCTCTCTCCCTCTCCCTTCCTCTCTGTAAAAAAAAAAAAAATCAATAATTTTTTTTAAAACAGAGAGGCCAAGAAAAACAGAAGCAGGAAGAGCCTGAGAGAGGCAGAAAGTGAGCCCCAAGCGTAAGGTGACCAGGCGTCCCGCTTTGGGCGGGACAGTCCCGATTTTTAACAATTTGTCCCGCGTCCCGTGGCGTTTTTAAAAAGTCCCTATTTTTGGAAAGAACCAGGGGGAAGGTGACAGAAGGGAGCAGGCAGACAGAAGTAGAAGGACTTACAATGTCACTGAGTGAGAGCCACATGGACAGGGTGGGTCAAGGAGCTGAACCCGAGAGAGCAAAGTCTGGGTGAGTCTAGGACAAAAATACACGGAGACCCTCAGGAAGATGAGGGCTGAGCTGATAAGACGAACAAGAGGGCTCACCGGTGAGGTGGAGAGTGGGATAGGGGCCATCACACACTGCAGTGGGGTGATTGGTGTATCTGAGATCATTTTATTTTGCGTTTAATATGCTCTTTTTTAAAAATATATTTTATTGATTCTTTACAGAGAGGAAGGGAGAGGGATAGAGAGCTAGAAACTTCAATGAGAGAGAATCATCGACAAGCTGCCTCCTACACACACCCCCACTGAGGAATGTGCCCACAACCCATGTACTTGCCCTTGACCAGAATCGAACCCGGGACCTTTCAGTCCACAGACCGACGCTCTAATCACTGAGCCAAACCTGTTTTGGCTCCGTTTAATATGTTCTTATTGATTTCAGAGAGGAAGGGAGAAATAGAAACGTCAATGATTGATCGGGTGCCTCCTGCACACCCCCTATTGGGGATGGAGCCCACAACCCTTGCATGTGCCCTGATGAGGAATCGAACCTGGGACCCTTCAGTCCGCAGGCCGATGCTTTATCCACTGAGCCAAACCGGCTAGGGCATAGCTGAATGAACAGAAAGCAGAAGCTCAAGAGAGCTTAATTGTCATTTTAAAAATCCATCTCTAATGCATTTATGAATTATAATAAAGGTAACTATACACTTTTAAAAAAAGCTCAGAAGTGGAGAGAGAGAGATGTTCATGAAAATGGTGCTCGTAATGGTGGTGAAAGGCCTGAGATTGCACCTTGTGCACAGCTGCCGAGAATGGACGCCCTGCAGCTGCTATGGAAGACAGTAGGCCACTTCCCCCACCAACTAAGCAGCATTCCCGTGAGGCTCAGCAATTCCACTTCTAGGTGCTTACCCAAAAGGACGGAAAGGAGGAACCTGGCCGAAACCGGTTTGGATCAGTGGATAGAGCGTCGGCCTGCGGACTGAAGGGTTCCAGGTTCAATTCTGGTCAAGGACATGTACCTTGGTTGCGGGCACATCCCCAGTAGGGGCGTGCAGGAGGCAGCTGATCGATGACTCTCTCTCATCAATGTTTCTAACTTGCTATCCCTCTCTCTTCCTCTCTGTGAAAAAATCAATAAAATATATTTAAAAAAATAAATAAATAAAGGGTCGAGGCATTAGGAAGGTTGAGAACCACGGTTTAGAAGCTGAGAAAGTCCTGGGTTTGGATGGTGGTGATGGTTGCACAATATGAATGTGTTTGACGCCACTCACCTGGTGAAGAAGCTCAGTTCCACGCAGTGTGTATTTTATCGCCATGAGGAGAGTGAGGCCCAGCCATGTGCCCACATCAGGTGCCCGCAGAGGGAAAAGGCAGCCATCTTCGGGGCTGGCAGCTCTGGGGCTGGCACTGGGCAGCAGGGTTAGCATCCCTTTCTCTGTCCACAGCCCAGGTCCTTCTGGAACCACAGCTGGCCCGGCTGGGACGCCGCCACCTTGGGTTCCTGCAGAGGGTGCCACCGGCCCACACAGCCATGCGCTGCCCAGCTGTGCTCCTGCTCCTGCTCCTGGTCCTGGTGGGGGTGGCCCAGGCCTTTCGCATCTGCGCCTTCAACGCCCAGAGGCTGACGCTGGGCAAGGTGGCCAGGGAGGAGGTGCTGGACCCCTTAGTTCGGGTAGGTTGGTCACTGTAGGGAAACTGCTTTCCGAGGACCAGGAGCCACAGCCCCACCCAGCCCTGCCTGGCCCGGGGCCTGGCCCAGAGAAGGGGACATCGAGAAAGCCCAGCCGGCGTGACTCAGTGGTTGAGTGTTGACCTACGAACCAGGAGGTCACGGTTCGATTCCCGGTCAGGTCACATGCCTGGGCTGCGGGCTCGATTCCCGGTGGAGGTCATGCCGATCAATGATTCATCATTGATGTTTCTGTCTCTCTCTCCCTCTCTCTTCCACTCTGAAGTCAATAAAAACAGATTTTTTTTTTTTAAAGGGACATCAAGAAACAAGGGTGCAGAGGCATGGAGCACTATTCCTAGATCTTTTTGTTTCTTTCATGTACACTGAGTGGCCACATTATTATGATCTCTGAACTCATAATTGGCCACTCAGTGTATATCCTATATAATAAAAGGCTAATATGCAAATTGTCCCCTCCACCAGGAGTTCGACCAGCAGGCAGGCCGGCCAACCGCCCATGTCCCCTCACCGTGGCCAGGCTGGCCAGACCCCATCCATGCACAAATTCATGCACTGGGCCTCAAAAAACAAAAATACACACACACACACACGCACACACACACTGAGTGGCCAGATTATTATGTGTTCAGAGATCATAATAATCTGGCCACTCAGTGTATTTTTATTGATTTCAGAGAGGAAGGGAGAGGGAGAGAGAAACATCAACGATGAGAGAGAATCACTGATTGGCTGCCTCCTGCAGGCCCCACACTGAGGATAAAGCCCACAACCTGATCATGTGCCCTGACCGGGAATGGAACAGTGACCTCCTGGTTCATAGGTCGACGCTTAACCATGGAGCCATTGAGGCACACTGGCCAGGCCCACCCAGGTCTTTTCTGGGCCCACTTCTGTGGGCCACAGCCAGCACACCATGCCACTCTGGCCCACATCAGTGGCCAGTGCCAGTTTCTCAGGGGCTTTATCCCTCCTGGGGCAGCTGGCACTGAGTGGGCCGGCCTTGCTGGTGTCCTGCAGATCCTGGCTCGCTGCGACATCACGGTGCTGCAGGAGCTGGTGGACTCTACTGGCAGCGCCATCTCCCTCCTGATCCGAGAACTCAACCGGTGAGCTGGGCTCTGGGGGTCTAACCCGGGGACCCCCTCGAGTCTTGGGGTCCCTGACTCTGGGCTCCCCTTTCCTGGCAGATTTGATAACTCCGGGCCCTACACATTTCTGAGCAGCCCCTTCCTGGGGCGCAGCACATACGTGGAGAAGTATGTGTACATCTACAGGTAAGTACATACGGTGGCCGGGGCGGACTTGGCACTTGGCCCGCTGTGAGATGGCTGAGTAGTCCCAGACCCCTTCCTCCCAGGGCAGCCCTCACCTTCTCTCCCTCTTTATCTCCTCGGCCCTTTTATTCTGGGCTCTGCCCTCCTCTAGCCTCGCCAGCTTCAGTGTTCACCTGCCCTGCAGCAGGCCTCATCCATGTACAGATGTCACGCCCCCCCCTCTCTGGTGGAAGCCCTTAGGGCTCGGGCGTGTCTTGCCCCATGTGGGTGGCTGACTGCAGCTTCTGGGAAGAGGCTCTAAGGGGGCCTGTTGTGGGCCTCCAGTGGACCCGGGTTCCAGAAACAGCCCTCAGATCCCGGGAGGACAGCCTCAGGGTCAGGATCGAGAGGGCAAGGGGGACTGTCAGGGAGGAGACCTATTTTTTTCCTTAATATTGTTATATATTTTAAAAATAGATCTTATTGAACTTTTACAGAAAGGAAGGGAGAGAGTTAGAAACATCAATGAGAGAAAAACATCGATCAGCTGCCTCCTGCACACCCCCTACTGGGGATGTGCCCGCAACCAAGGTACATGCCCTTGACCGGAATCGAACCTGGGACCCTTGAGTCCACAGGCCGACGATCTATCCATTGAGCCAAACCAGTCAGGGCTGTTATATGTTTTTATTATTTCAGAGAGAGGAAGGGAGAGGGAGAGAGATAGAAACATCCATAAGGAGAGAGAATCATTCATCGGCTGCCTTTTGCACGCCCCACACTGGGGATCGAGCCCACAATCTGGGCATGTGCCCTGACCGGGAATCGAACCATGACTTAATGGTTCATAGGTAGATGCTCAACCACTGAGCCACACCGGCGGAGCACCTATTTCTTTATATAAATGGAAGTATATAATGTCTAGAATTCACTCCAAAATAAAAGGGGTGCCCGGCTGGCATGGCTCAGCAGTTGAGCATCAACCTATGAACCAGGAAGACACAGTTCGATTCCCGGTCAGGGCACATGCCCTGCTTGTGAGCTCGATTCCTAGTGTGGGGTGTACAGGAGGCAGCCAATCAATGATTCTCTCTCCTCATTGATGTTTCTCTCTCCCTCTCCCTTCCTCTCTGAAATCAATATATACATTACTGTTTTTTTACAGAGAAAAAGGGAGAGGGATAGAGAGTTAAAAACATTGATGAGAGAGAGTCATCGATCAGCTGCCTCCTGCACACTTCCTACTGGGGATGTGCCCGCAACCAAGGTACATGCCCTTGACCGGAATCGAACCTGGGACCCCTGAGTCCGCAGGCCGCCACTCTATCCACTGAGCCAAACCAGTTAGGGCAATAAAATATTTTTTTAAAGTAATAATAATGGAGGAACAATGTCCACACAGGAATGCTCATAGCAGCATCAGTCATAACGCCTCAGTGGAAATGACCCAAGTGTCCCTCAGCTGATGGCTGGACAAATAAAAGGCAGTCTCTCTCTCCAACAGAATATGATTCAGCCGGAACCGGTTTGGCTCAGTGGATAGAGCATCCACCTGCGGACGGAAGGGTCCCGGTTCGATTCCGGTCAAGGGCATATGCCTTGGTTGCAGGCACCTCCCCAGTGAGGAGTGTGCAGGAGGCAGCTGATTGATGTTTCTCTCTCATCGATGTTTCTAGCTCTCTATCTCTCTCCCTTCCTCTCTGTAAAAAAATCAATAAAATATATTTTTAATTTTTTTTAAAAAAGAATATGATTCAGCCATATGAGGGAATGAAATACTGGCCCATGCTCCAACATGGGTGAACATTGGAGTTGATGCTAAGGGAAAGAAGCCAGATACAGAAAATCACATATTATTTATTAATTTATTTTAAAACATTTTTTTTTAATTTCTTTATAGAGAGGAAGGAAGAGGAATAGATAGAGAGTTAGAAACATCGATGAGAGAGAAACATTGACCAGCTGCCTCCTGCACACAACCCCCCTACTGGGGATGTGCCCACAACCAAGGTACATGCCCTTGACCGGAATCAAACCCGGGACCCTTGAGTCCGCAGGCCGACGCTCTATCCACCGAGTCAAACCGGTTAGAGCCACATATTACTTTTTTAAAAATATCTTTGTATTGATTCTAGAGAGAGAGGAAGGGAGAAGGAGACAAAGAGAAAGATCAATCAGTTGCCTCCTGCACGCCCCATACTGGGGATTGAGCCCTAACCCCAGGCATGTGCCCTGATCAGGAATCAAACCAGCAACCTCCTGGTGCATGGGATGATGGTCAACCACTGAGCCACACTGGCCAGGGCCAGACCACATATGAGTTGATTACATTCACACGGAATGTCCAGAATTGGCAAATCCAGAGACAGAAAAGAGATGAGTGGCTGGCTGCCAAGTGGATGCTAATGGATACAGTTTCTTTTTTTGTTTTTTTTTTTTTTTCCTTTTTCTTTTTTTTAAAATATATTTTATTGATTTTTTACAAGGAAGAGAGAGGGATAGAGAGTTAGAAACATCGATGAGAGAGTGTCATCGATCAGCTGCCTCTTGCACACCCCCTCCTGGGGATGTGCCCACAACCAAGGTACATGCCCTTGACCGGAATCGAACCCGGGACCCTTCAGTCCCCAAGCCGACACTCTATCCATTGAGCCAAACCGGTTTCAGCAGATACAGTTCCTTTTGAGGATGACAACTGTATTGTTCTAAAACTGATTGTGGCGAGGGCTCTACCACAGTGTGAGTGTAACAAACGCCACTGGAATTTTATGGTATGTGAATTTTTAAAAAAAATTTTTTTTTTTTTTTTACAGAAAGGAAGAGAGAGGGATAGAGAGTTAGAAACATCTATGAGAGAGAATCATCAATCAGCTGCCTCTTGCACACCCCCTGCTGGGGATGTGCCCGCAACCAAGGTACATGCCCTTGACCGGAATCAAACCTGGGACCTTTCAGTCCGCAGGCCGACGCTCTATCCACTGAGCCAAACCGGTTTTGGCGGTATGTGAATTTTTTAAAAGATATTTTATTGATTTCAGAGAGGAAAGGAGAGGGAGAAACAGAAACATCAATCATGAGAAAGAGCCATTGATCGGCTGTCTCCTTCATGCCCCCTTCTGGGAATTGAGGCCAGCAAGAATCCAACCAGGACCTGAGTCATAGGTCAACACTCAACCATTCAGCCACACCGGCCGGGCTTATGGTTTGAATTTTCTCCCAATAAAATTCTAGGAAAAAGGCTAGGAAGAGAGGCGGGGGGAAAGGCTGGGGGAGGGGGGAGGCTGTGCCCATATGGAACAGAGCTGCTGGCAGAGGCCCCCACCCTGAGTGGCAGCTCCGATGTGGCACTTGCAAACCAGAATCAGTGATGTGGGGATGCTGCTTCCTATCCCTCGGTCCCCCAGGCCCCACAAGATGCAGATCGAGGACTCCTACCTGTACGATGACCAGGATGATGACCTCTTTACCAGGGAGCCCTTTGTGGCCAAGTTCACGCTGCCCAGCAAGGGTGAGAGGGGAAGAAGGCTGGCCGGCCTGTGGGCAGCGGGAACTGGGGGGCTGGCTGGCTCCCCTGGGGGGTGGGTCACCCAGAGGGGGCCGCGGGGAGAAGAGCCATGAGCAGGTGGGAGCCCTCTACCCCTGGGGCCTTGCAGACCTTCCCAGCTTGGTGTTGGTCCCCCTACACACCTCTCCGAAGACCGTGGAGCAGGAGCTGAACGCCCTGTATGACGTGTTTCTGGATGCCTCCCAGCGCTGGCAGAGCGAGGTAGGGCCGGGCAGGTGGCATGGGGGAGAGGGGGACCCGGATGGCGTGTGGCCTGACAACAGCTGCGCCCTCTCCAGGACATCATCCTGCTGGGGGACTTCAATGCTGACTGCGGCTCCCTGGCCAAGAAGCGCCTGGGGGAGCTGACGCTGCGCACTAAGGCCGGTTTCTACTGGGCGATCCCCGATGGCGAGGACACCACAGTGCGCGCCAGCACCCACTGCGCCTACGACCGCATCGTGCTGCACGGGGAGCGCTGCCGGAGGCTGCTGCACGCGGCCTCTGCCTTCAATTTCCCCCGGAGCTTCCGGCTCACCGAGGAGCAGGTAAAGCGAGGCAGCGGGAATGGCCTCGGGGAAGTCCCTGGGCCCTGACACTGTCTTTCTGTTCGCCCCAGGCCCTCAACGTCAGTGACCACTACCCCGTGGAGGTGGAGCTGAGCCTGAGCCTGAGCCGGGCGGAGCACGGGGCCCGGCCCCTCAGCCTGGCTGCTCTGTTGCTGTCCCAGCTGCTGCTCCTGCTGCTCCTGCCCCCACAGCTGGGCCTGGGGGCCTGAGCCTCACCCACCCTGGTATCTGCTGCCTAAGATGTGATGACTGACAGCACTGCCCTTAGGACTCAAACCCCAGCCTCTCCAGGCTCTCTGCCCTGGGCCAAAGCGACTCCTGAAGGGCTTCGACTGCAGCGCAGCCTGGCCCTGCCCAGCCCTGCCCGGCCCTGCCCAGCCCTGCCCGGCCCTGTCCAGCCCCGTCCTGCCCTGCCCTGTCCTGCCCAGCTGGGCCCTGCCCAGTCCTACCCAACCCAGCCCTGCCCTGTCCTGCCCAACCCAGCCCTGCTCTGTCTTGCCCAACCTGGTCCTACCCAGCCCTGCCCTATTGGACTGCACCCCTCTGCCTTTCCTCGGTTTGGCTTGCGTTCTTCTGCTGGGCCTGTGCCTGGCGTGAGGATGTGTAAGAGGAAGGCAGGGGCCCGAGGCTGGGGGAGGGGAAAGGGGCTTCGCAAAGGGAATCACAACACATGAACAATTATGACAAAAAGGAAACACATACAAACTGAGAACAAAAAGCTAGATAGGAGGACACTACATGTGTGGAACAGATATGTCACTGGGGCACCTGTATGCACATGGGATCCACGTGAATTAGCGTGAAGATCCCAGTAGATACAAAATTGGAGATAAGCAGTTCACACACACACACACACACACACACACACACACACTCACTCGAAAACAATGGCAGATGCATTCAAACTCGTGTGAGCTAATGAAAATAGCTGCAAACACACCCAACGCCTGTGGCAAAGCCCATGAGGTGCAGGCAGCCCACGTTGGCACATTCATAGGGTGTGGCCCCGAGCAGAGTGGTTACCAAGGCTACGGATGCACAGAACATATATGAACCGGCTGTCATGTAATGACAGAAATCAACTGTAAGAAATTCTGCTTTGTAAGCATGATGTTTGCTTTGTGGACACATCACTGTGTCCCTGTGTTACACGCCCACAAATGGAACACCCAAGTTTCCTTGGGGTATGTTAGGACAGTCCTTCAGTCAATGTGGGAGGGCGTACACAGGTGACCTGCAGAGGACATGACGTCAGAGAGGGAACAGAGCTCAGTAAAAGCAGTTAGTGCCCTGGCTAGGTAGCGCAGTTGGTTAGAGCATCATCCTGATAGGCCACGGTTGCAGGTTCGATCCCCAGTCAGGGCACATACAGGAACCAACCAATGAATGCATAAAGAAGTGGAACAGTAAATCAAGGTTTCTCTCTCTCCAAAATCAATAAAAAAAATTTTAAAAACAGCCCGGTTGCTGTGGTGCAGTGGGTGAGCTTTAACCTATGAACCAGGAGGTCATAGTTCGATTCCCAGTCAGGGCACATGCCTGGGTTGTGCGCTCCATCCCCAGTGTGGGGTGTGCAGGAGGCAGCTGATCAATGGTTCTCTCTCATCATTGATGTTTCTATTTCTCCTTTCCTCTCTGAGATCAATAAAAATATATATATATATATATATATATTTTTTTTTTTTTTAAAGGAGTGGACTAGGGTGTTTATGATGGTGCTTGCAATGGTGGTGAAAAACTGGGGTCACCCCTGAGATTGCACCTTGTGCACAGCTGCCAGGAATAGACTCCGTGCAGCTGCTATGGAAGACAGTAGGCCACGTCCTCCATGAGGCTAAGCAGCGTTCCCATGAGGCTCAGCAATTCCACTTCTGGGTGCTTACCCAAAAGGACCGAAAGGAGGAACCTGAAAGATACCTGTTCTCCATGCTCACAGCAGCCGCATGCACAGTACCAGAAGGTGGTCGCATCCAGTGTCCACTCACAGAGGAATGGGCGAGCAGCACGGGGCTAGCCATGCAGCGGAATATCGGTCAGCCTTAACGAGGAAGGAGATTTTGTCTATGACCATACCACCCTGAGCACTCCTCATCTCCTCTGACCTTCTAAGCCAGGGGTCGGCAAACTCATTAGTCAACAGAGCCAAATACCAACAGGACAACGATTGACATTTCTTTGGAGAGCCACATTGTTTAAACTTAAACTTCTTCTAACGCCACTTCTTCAACATAGACTCGCCCAGGCCGTGGTATTTTGTGGAAGAGCCACACTCAAGGGGCCAAAGAGCTGCATGTGGCTTGTGAGCCGCAGTTTGCCGACCACGGGTCTAAGCTAAGCAGGGTCAGGCCTGGTTAGTAGTTGGATGGGAGACCACCTGGGAATACTGGGTTCTGTGGGCTTAACATGTTAAGCGCCCAGCCTGTTTTGTCTTCCGGACAGAAAGTGTAGTGTCAGTCACCTGACTAGGCACTTAACACATTAAAAAAATAAAAGAGAGAGAGACCTAACCAGTTTGGCTCAGTGGATAGAGCACCGTCCACAGACTGAAGGGTCTCAGGTTCGATTCTGGTCAAGGGCATGTACTTTGGTTGCGGGCACATCCCCAGTGGGGAGAGTGCAAGAGGCAGCTGCATCGATGTTTCTCTCTCATTGATGTTTCTATCACTCTCCTCTCTGTAAAAAATCAACAAAATATATTCTTAAAAAAAGGAGGGACACGCTGAAACCGGTTTGGCTCAGTGGATAGAGCGTCGGTCTGCGGACTGACAGGTCCCAGGTTCGATTCTGGTCAAGGGCATGTACATTGGTTGCGGGCACATCCCCAGTAGGGGGTGTGCAAGAGGCAGCTGGTTGATGTTTCTCATCGATGTTTCTAACTATATCTCTCCCTTCCTCTCTGTAAAAAAAATCAATAAAATATTTTTTTTTTTTAAAAAGAGGGACATTTTGACACACATTACAACATGGATGAACCTTGAGGACATTATACTATGTGAAATAAGCCAGACAAAAGGACACTGATTCCATTCTGTGAGGTGCCTGGAGTAGCAAAGCTCAGAGAGACAGGAAGGAGGGTGGCTGGTGCCAAAGCTCTGGAGGAAAATGGGGGGTTAGTGTTTCATGTGGACAGTTTCCGTTTAGAAGCTGAGAAAGTCCTGGGTTTGGATGGTGGTGATGGTTGCACAATATGAATGTGTTTGACGCCACTCGCCTGGTGAAGAAGCTGTTCCACGCCCTGTGTATTTTATTGCCATGAAGAGAGTGAAGCCGAGCCGTGTGCCCACATCAGGTGCCCACAGAGGGAAATGGCAGCCATCTTCAGGGCTGGCGCTGGGCAGCAGGGTGAGCATCCCTTTCTCTGTCCACAGCCCAGGTCCTTCTGGAACCACAGCTGGCCCGGCTGGGACGCCGCCACCTTGGGTTCCTGCAGAGGGTGCCACCGGCCCACACAGCCATGCGCTGCCCAGCTGTGCTCCTGCTCCTGCTCCTGGTCCTGGTGGGGGTGGCCCAGGCCTTTCGCATCTGCGCCTTCAACGCCCAGAGGCTGACGCTGGGCAAGGTGGCCAGGGAGGAGGTGCTGGACCCCTTAGTTCGGGTAGGTTGGTCACTGTAGGGAAACTGCTTTCCGAGGACCAGGAGCCACAGCCCCACCCAGCCCTGCCTGGCCCGGGGCCTGTCCCAGGGAAGGGGACATGGAGGGACACAGGTGCACAGACATGGAGCAAGTTCCTCCCATCATCGGCCTGAGACTCTTCCTCTGTGAAATGGGTAGTGTGGGTGGGGACAGCACGGTTTTCTCCCAGGCCTTTTTGTTTTCTAATATATTTTTTGATTCAGAGGAAGGGAGAAACATCACTGATGAGAATCACTGATTAGCTGCCTCCTGCACACCCCCACTGAGGATTGAGCCCACAACTCGGGTATGCATACTTGACCGGGAATCGAACCTGGGACCTTTCAGCAAAGTTCTATCCACCGAACCAAACCAGCCAGGGTCCAGGTGTTTTTAAAAAATCTATTTTTATTGATTTCAGAAGCATGATAGAAACATCAAGAGAACCACTGATTGGCTGCTTTCTGTAACCTGGGCATGTGCCCTTAACTGGAATCAAATGCAGGAGTCTTCAGGCTACAGGCCAACGCTGTCCAAACCAGCTAGGGTTCCCAGGTCTCCAGGCCATCAACATACCATGCCACTTTTGCCCCTCAGCAGCCAGTGTTCCCCCCCTCACACACTTCCTGGGGCAGGTAGCATTCAATGGGGCTGGCCTTCTTGGTGTCCTGCAGATCCTGTGTGTAGCCCCAGGGAGTGGTTACCAAGGATACAGATGCAGAAAATACACCTGCCAGCTCTCATGGGATAGTTGCAACTGTAATAAGTTGTGAACTTATGCATGTTTCCTTTGTGATAGCGTGAGGCCACAAACAGGACACACATCAGAGAAGGGCCTAACTCCAGGACTGCTGTTTTCCAGAGAACGGGGCAGTAAAAAGTGCCCTGGTCAGGAGCCCAACTGGTTGGAGTGCCACCCCAATGAGATTGTAGGTTGGATAGCAGGCCAGGGGACCTGTTAAGAATCAACCAGTGAACGCTTAGATCAGTAGAGCAATCAATTGATATGCCTCTTAATAAGTCATTAATAATTTAGAACAGCTAGCAGGACATTAGGGGCAAGTTCAAGTTGAGGTCATGGTTATGGTCTGGGGCTGCACACTATTTGCCCAAAGGTCAGCTCTTGCCAGGCCCTGTGGCACATTTCAAAGGGGAAAAACTGGGGTACCTGCTACTGTGCTGGGCTGATTTGTTCCCTGGAGGACAAAGGACAGCGACCCTAGGGTTCCCAGAGGTCCCCAATCCCCCATGAATCCAAACACAAAGACATGGATGGAAAACTGATTTATTGGTGGGTGTAAGGTGGGGGCAGCACCGAGACTCTCACGAGTGCAGGGCTCGCCATTTGTCCAGGGGACCACGATTAGGGATGTATTTGACCCCACAGCCATCTGGGATGAGGCGCTTCTCAGCCACCATGTCTTCAAACTCATCCGCATTAAACTTCGTGAAGCCCCACTTCTTGGAGATGTGGATCTGGGGGGGAAAAAAACAAAGAATTCAGTATACATATTGGGAGGGGGGGGGGTGTCCTGGGCAAGGGAAGGAGGGACCAAAGGTGGCCGCACTTCTTACCTTCTGGCGGCCAGGGAACTTGAACTTGGCTCTGCGCAGGGCCTCAATCACATGCTCCTTGTTCTGCAGCTTAGTGCGGATGGACATGATGACTTGGCCAATGTGGACTCTGGCCACTGTGCCCTGGGGCTTTCCAAAGGCACCCCGCATACCCGTTTGGAGCCTAGATGGAGGGCAGCGTGAGTTCAGACACGAATGTCCACCAGAAAGGGCTGTATCCAAGGTCCCTTAGGGCAACCCATACTAAGCAACAGGTTGCGTACACTACCAAGGATGCTGCTGTTTGCAGCCATTGCACACCAGGCCCCCATGGGGAAAAGGGCCTGGTCGGCTTAATTGGCTGCAGTGAACCCCAAAACAGACTCAAACAGAACCTTTGCCAGGGTGCTCCTGGGCTCATCGGAAAGCCCAACATGCAACTGCCCTAGCAACGCGCTTGCTGGCAGATGGCTGGCACCAGGCTCAAAGCTACTTCCTCCCCCTGCTGCCCAGAGGCTCAGCCCTCCCTTTTTGTCTCTGCTCATCTGCAGAGTAGCAGAGAAATTAGTGCCCATGACATCTTGCCAGCCATTAGGCTGGCTTTGCCATGCATGGTTGAGTCCTTATGTGGGGCCATCTCTTTGCTCTACTGTAATCAAGCTCAACAGAGACCCCTCAGGCTTACCTGTCAGCCCCAGCACAGGA